CAATAGATCACGTTAGAACACAATAGATCACGTTAGAACACAATAGATCACGTTAGAACACAATAGATCGCATTAGAACACATTAGATCACGTTAGAACACAATAGATTGACAAGTTTTTTCAGCAGTAGCATTGGGCTTGCCAGACGTATGCACATTATGATCGGGTGACAGGTACAAGCAATCAAACAAGCTGAAGATGGGCGCGGTGACAGCGGGGCTGATCGAGCAATCTATAGTTTATGATCAGTCATAGCTGCCTGAGCCATAGTTTATGATCGGCCATGGACGCCGATTTCAGGTCGATGTGGCTGATGGAGAGCTTGATAAGACGCTGATATCTCGAGCTGGAAGGCCCTACTCTACAGCCTGGCATCGTAATCCATCCAACGTACCGGAAACCTTACTTTTTTTCTAAATAGTTGGCTGAAGACTGAGAAATATATTAAATGCAAGAATTTCAATCTAAATGTGTCGGCAAGATCTTCTGAAGGCGAAAATTTTGCCGATAATGCGTCGCCGTAGGTCTTTAAATCTTCGTTCACTCTCTGCACAGTGGATTTTTTTAGACTCTCCCCATAGTGGCAAAGCAGAGAGTTTTTTAGACTCTCCCTCAAGTTCATTTTTGAGTCCTATAAGTAGACAAGTAAAGTATCCTGGTGTAAGTTGCCATTCCCATGCTTCACCCTCAATTTAATGTAGCTAACGATATTGAATGGCATTATTCATACAAAGCTGTATCTATTAAACTTTTACATTTTAAGATCTGGTGGAAGCGGCGAGCATCCCTAACAATACGAGGATGTATATAAAAACATTAATGATCTAGAAGCGGGCTTCAAAAAAAAAACATTTCAATATGGCTCTAATTAAATAAAGATCATTACTTGTAGTATAATAAACATGAAGTCTCCCTATTAAAAAGTTATATTTCGTTGGTCATCAAAGATCAAAGCTTATATCAACTACGCGAGTCGAACTAACAATAATAAAATGTAAGACATGTCCGGGTTACTTCTGACTCTTCCGCTTGTCGGATACGGAATGTACGGTAATCATAAACTGCGGCTATTATACATACAAAATGTAAACATACGGTGTTCAGTGTTGCCATATGAATTTGGAGAAAATTTCATCTAAAATAAAGTTCTAGATTTCTCATTCATCAAATTTCCGTATTAAGAAAAATCGTATATTGTTGAAAGATAATTGAAGACATACTGTACTGAGTATTATGTCTGTTCCTCCACAAACTGCTCTTGGGCAGCGTAGAATTGATGGCTGGGATTGCGCGAAGAGAAACAATTTTCATTACATTGCGCCAACTGTGTGCAGCAATGGCTTAAAAAAAGTCAAAATGCGCGGGAAAATTCACCAAAAACATACATCATCCTGAGTGTGGTAGTAGGCCCTACTACCACAGGATGATGTACCGGTATGTTTTCGGTAGGGTAAAGTGTAAACGCGGTATATTCCGACATCGTGGGTAATTCTGACACTTCTCAACTTTTTTCCTTTATATTAAGCTTTGTCTTAGTTCCATGCATTTGTTGATGGTTGAAATAGTGACATCATACAATTGCGTGCCATACTATTGCCCAAACACTAGGTCTGGGCTGCAGGCTGGAATTCTAAAATTTGTGGTTTACATAAAAAGCATTCCGCCTTAAAAAAAATGTTCCAGGCAACTAGAAACAGGTTTGCAGGCCGTCAGAAATTGGCTTTGGTTATGGTAGCTATGATCATATGAACCGTGAACGTCAAGTCAGGCAACACAGAGAAGATCCCATGAAAGATTGTTCATTGCGTGCATCACTCACAGATGAGCAAGAGAGATGGATCTACAGAAAGAAATACTATTTACTCCCAACATAATAGTTTCAAATTAAATATAAAAAACATTTATGGCACCTAATTGTTACCTCAGCTTTCAAATTGAGGAGAAACTCATCGGCAGTTGGAGAAACTTCTCGAAGAAAAGGTAATGCACAACAAACAACATGACACTTCACAGTTGACTGACTAGAATAGACTCAAATCACTCAATAGTCAATAGAGTACTCGAAAGTAAAAAAATTTAGCATTCAAACCTTTAGATTCTGTGAACCTTGTGATTTCTTCATTATTTAAACTTTAGAAGGCTCACAATATATCACGTAAAGTTTTCATTCAATTATTGTCTCGAAGTTCGGGAGCTATATCTGCAGTTATGTTCTGTAGTTACCTCACCCACCGATTGCATAATGAGAACTAACCACTAACCATCATTAGATTCCCGCCACTGTTGCACACGATTGATTCTGCATGCATGTATAATATTTATGAAGGTTATTAAACCATTCTGATTTCTGTTGAATGTCAGTTACTGATAAATTTTTAATATAGAAGAATTCGTATCTTTCATTTTTTCACATGACTATATTGATGTCGGTTTCACATTGGTTGCCGGTACGGTTGGTATTCCTGCTACCTTCTTTGTTTACATTTTTCGTTCAGCTGATTGCAACGAAATTAGATTGTATGTCTCAGCTGATTGCATCGGTGGTCAGTTTTGTATTTGTGGATTGAATCATAGGCAGTTTTTCATGTATTTGTGAGCCAGTGTACATAGTGAAGATGTTATTCTTTGCGATTTCCATCAATAATCACATAACTACACTATTTGTATTACGCTCTTGAAATAAGAATTGTAGCATTACACATTAAGTTAGCATCAGTGCCTTAACATTGTGTGCATTTGAGGCGGTCCCTTCTAGCTTACTATCGCTGATTGGATTCCAGTGGCTGTCACGTTGCACACATTCTAGCGATGATTGGATCCCTGTGACAGTACGTTGGTCGCGTTCAAGTGTTGATTTGATTCTTGTTACTGTGAAGATGCAAGCGCTTTTTTTTTTCAATTAAACAGCTGTGCCATCTTGCAGAGACTCATCAGTGATGATGATGGACTGAAAGTGGAAGTGTGCTGGATGTTCCAGATTTTTGGGTCCTGCTTTCCGATTTGATATGTTTACCAGTTAATATATTACCCCTCTGGAATTCTACATTGCTGGGCCGTCTGGTGGGAAAAATGTTAAGATCCAAAGAGAGACAGTGCACATCACTCAGTGAGAACATCGAAAAATGTTGCAAAGTTGATGGTTGACCTCGCTCTACCAAATAGTGATAAACTGTTTGTGTAGAAAGAATATTATGGTTTGAGACTTTTAAATAAGTCCTGTGAATATGTTTGGAATCCTTTAAGTATACTTGTATTTGCTGATTTCAAGTGGTAAATAAATTAATAGATGATTAAGTTAAGCAATGGTTTTAGACACATAAAAACTAATTCTGACACAGCTTGGAATTAGATACACAATGCTTGTTCCAAGCTGTGTCCAAAAATTAAAATTTTCTTAATTAAAAGCTTAATAGCTCTTAATTAAAAGCTTAATTAAAATTTTTTAAATTTTAATTATAAAATTAAAATTTTTTAATTTTTTAATACCACAAGAGTGGCAGGCTGGTAATTTACGATGTGTGTTTCCCTGCATTCGTTCCCTGGCAACTCCTTGAAAACTGCAGCTTCCAAAGAAAATGCGAAATCTACAATTTAGCAGTAATGAAAAATTTTTTGTTAGAAAATGTCGACAAAATAGATGTCAATTGAGATGTGTCTTTAATACCAATCAATAGAAAGTAAATAGTAGTACTCCTTCTTTATGTCTCAAAAAATTGGGTAAATTGCATAGTATCCATCCATTGATCTATGTACAACCTATTCCTCTATCATAACTCATGCTATACAAAATTTACATATTTTTTGTTGCCCTGGAGAAATTGTAAATAAATAGCTGGATAAGTATGACAAAATTCAGATTGATATCTCATTTACAAGCGGAGTTATAATGACGTTGTGATAGATTCTCATAGGGATGCAGCCAAGCCTGCCTGAGGGCTTGTGGTTCTCAATCGCAACCTTAAGTTAATTTTTAAAAATTTAACATTTCTGTGAAGGGATTTAGGTACGGTAATCCTTCCAAATTCATTGTGTGCTAAAGCTTACTTCTGTCAATTTCTGTGCAGGCATGAAAATTTAGTAAGTTTGTCAGGATAGTGAAATTTCCAATCAGGGCAGTTCTAAAAATGAAAAGAAAGCTCTTGTCCCAGGTTGCACCTGACAAAATATACATTTTGGGGCTCAACTAGTGCTTCCCTACCATTTTGTGGGACTGCAAGATCCCTGCTCTTTCAATTAACTTTTATAGAATTATTAATTAAATTGCCTAATTGGCTGCCAGGTGCAAGATCCTAAATGTATTGAAAATTTTGTAACTTAAAGCCTGGAAAATTTCCAAAATAAATAGGAAATTTCCTATCCTGTGTGTGAGAGTTCATGTTGAAGATGAAGATTAAAAATGCTACTTGATGCTGATGATGCCACCATGCAGCTATGATGATGAATATGGGATAGAACTTACAAGGCAATTTGGAATACCAGGCATAATTTATTCAGAAATTGTGGGTAAACACTATAATTTAATAAATAATTGCTTTTTCAATCTTTGATAATGTTTTCAGACTGATTTTCTAGTGTCTTAACTGCTAAAAACTGTTTTTCCAGATTTTTTCATATTATTACTATTATTTTGCAGGTAGACATAAATCACTGTCATAGCCATGGGAGCTCCTAACACATTAACACCAGAGATTTCCAGGAAAGCCACCAGAAAGCTTGAAAAAAAGAAGAAGAAACAAAAATCGCAAATGGCAAACCTTAAGAAAGGACATATTGATAAGGTTGGTCCATCTTTTAGCAAGAAAAATGATGGCACAAATGAAACCAAACCAGGCTTTATCAAACAAATGGGAAATAATCCAATTAAAAAGCAAGAAAAATCACACAAAAAGTTGCAAGCAAATGGACCCATTTTTGGCCACAACTTAGATGCCAGAATGGCAGCTCTTCAACAGTTCATTGATAATGAAATTCAAAGCTCCTCTGTCAATTCTGACAGAAGCCCTGCAAAAAGTAATAAACAAAAAGATTCATTGGTTTCATCCGGTAAAAAAAGTGGGAAGAAAAATGGAAAAGGGATAAAGGATACTAAGAGGCTAGAAGAGCTGAATGCTGGAATTGAAAATGATGACAAGGAAATAAAATACCTACAGCGGCAGCTACAGTTTAACTCTCGTCAAAAGGAGAGCAACAACATGTTTCGCAATCTTTTTGGTGCAGACATTGGTGACTTGTTTGACACATTAGAATCAGAACCAAGTGAAGCAGACATGTTATCTGAGAAACCGCTATTACCACCTCAGCTTCATTGCAAGGCAAAAAATAAGCCTAAACTTGAACTGCCAAAAAATACAATTTTTGTTGAAACAAGTAAAGTAGCTTGTGAACATGCCAGCTCTCTTGCAACCACAGCTCAACCTGATATTGTCAAGTCAAAGAAATGGAAAAGACAGCCAGACATTGAAGAAGCTCATGAGCTGGAACCAGAGGCCAAAATTGGAAAATATTGTGAACATGATAGACAAAAAATTACCAAGAAAAACATATCATTGTGCTCTGAAAATAAATCAAATCTTGGAAAGTCAGCCTTAAACCTAAGCAATGGTTCAACATACCTAATTGCTACTTCATCTCCCTCTTCTTTGAAGCCAATCATTAATACCAAGGCAAAGAAGTTCAAAAAAAATGGGAGACTAAGTGTTTCATTTGATTTAGGAAAAAATGCTGTCAGATTCATTCCTCCAATCATCAAAGAAGCTGGCTTTACTGTTCTAGATGATAATGCACCTCTATTTTGTGATACTGTAAATGAGGTTTCTTTGGCTAAAGGTGAAAAAGCTTTGAAAAAGTGCAAGAAACCAAAGTATTCTGATACCAAGGAAGATATTCAAATGAGAGCTTCATTTTGTTATGCAGGTAAGAAAAAGTCTTGCAAAAATTTTCACAATGAGACTTTGAATGTGGATGCATTGGACTTCAACAATTCTGATGTGAGCAATTTTGGTACAGGTAGTATAGAAAGGGACAGTTCTGATGGCGAATTAAATTCTGAGGAAAGTCAATACTCTGGAAATGATGTGCGCAGTGATTATAGTGATTCTGATGAAGATACTGGATCAGAGATTAGCAATTGTGACTTCTCTGACATGTTGGAAGGTTTTGAAGATGGTGTTGGTGGTTCAAGTGATGATGATGTTCATATGGAAGCTGAATTCACAGACAGTGATGACTCTGGAGATGATGAGGATTTTGTTGAAGAAAGTAACCTGGAAACTGATGACAACTGCCAAGTTGTGAAGCCAAAGGTTTGTGAGGCAGAAGACATATATGGCCGTCTGCGCGACTCAGAAGGAAATGTCATTGAAGAAAACACAGGCACCAAAGTGTCTAGCTACTTGACTCCTGAACAGCGCAAGCATGATGAAACTTTGCAGGAACAGTTGAGAGATGATGCCATAAAACGGGTCCGTACTCAGCTCCGAGGTAGACTCAACAGACTGGCTGAAGTGAATCTAGCTGGAACTGTCACTATGGTGAGAAAAAACTCGTTCTCTTGTCCAAAAATCTTCAAAGTAATATTACTGTATGATGCCTTTCAACATTCCTCACATCCTTAAATGTCTACAAAGCCTTATTTAATGATTATTGTGTAATCATGAAAATGCTGAGTATAATTTGTTTTTTATTCCTTAACACATGCCTTGACTAACCAATAAATATGCAGGTGAATGTTGAATAGATTGTCTAGTACGATGCTTGTAGCTTTAACCCATATTAACTGAAAATTAAACTTCAATTTGATCACGAAAAACCTTAAATGAATTCTCATTGTTGTTCATTTGGAAGCAAAACAAAAAATTCTTACCAATTGTCTGTGCATATCAAATGTAATTGAAAAAAATTCTTTGGAATTGTATTCAGTTCTGGTACATATAAAATTGTTTTATTTTATGTAGTATGTTTGTTTATAAAGTTTTTTTTTTGTAGGTTTGCTCACTGTATGGAAATCATCCAAGGCATTTGCTGAATGTGGTGTTTTCTGAGCTGTTGCTGGCTGAGCTGGCAAGTGAGATGCTCACTCTGGACCGCCACTGCCAGGAGTGTGCAGTTTTGCTGGCTGCCGTTGCTTCCAATGTGGCTGAAGAGGTATTTTTTGCAATTTATTCCATACATAAATCATTATACTGATTAGTGCAGTGCATTCTATCTCTTGGAGTACATATACCTACATAGATAATTAATTCATTTAAAATAAATATAACTTAATATTTAAAAGCTCTATGATTTTGTTTCCAACAGATTGGTGCCCACATCTTGACTGACTTTGTTGTAAGCTGGCACGAGGAGATGCAGAAGGGAGCTGAGGCAAGCAGTGCTCGACTGCGCAACTACGTGATGTTTGTGTGCCACCTCTTCAGCTTTGGTCTCCTGCACTCTGCACTGATCTATGATATCCTCAAGAAGCTCACCTCTCAATTGACTGCCCATTCAGTTAGTTACCTATCAAACTATCACATAATTTCATGAGTACACTACTGCTACTAACGTCTACTAAGCATTTTGATTAAATTTAATGTTTATTCTCAATAATGTGTCTTTTTTTTAGATAAAAATTATCATAGCTGCAATGAGCTATAGGCTTTTCTGTTATTTTACTTCTCTTCATCTGAAATTACTGTTCTATTTTTTGAGGGGGTATTTTAACTCGAGATTCATGATATATATATTTTATTATCTTGCAGGTAGACCAGATGATTCTTGTGATGAACAGTGTTGGTTTCTTGCTGCGTAAAGAGGACCCGCTCTCTCTGAAGGATTTTATTGTGGCTGTTCAGCGAGAGGGTTCTTCTTCCAATATTCCTCAGCTACAGCTCCTGAACACAATGCTTAGAGCTATCAAGAACAACAATGAGTCCAAGGTAACTGATGGCTTTTAATTTTCTTGCATAAATATAAACATTTAAAAAAAATTCTTGTTAATCATTAAATTTGATTCGAGGGTGCTAGCTAATCGAACATTATTTAGATAGTGAGAGCTCAGGCTTATTTCTCGTCACTGATTTGCGTAGTTATTACACTAACAATGACTTTATGTTGTGTAGCGGCCCTGGTTAGTGTTTGACAAACTAGTCGCCCGTCATTATGTATTTTCTGGGCAAGTACGACAGCAAAGGAAGATCGAACAAGCAACATTTTGCTCATACAATTATGATCATCAATACAAACGTTCTTCAATGACTTCCTGAACTGATTCACTGGTGGCTTCAAAATAATTTACATTTTTTTCAACACAAATGAATAATTTGGAGCATAGTTGAAACGCTGTTCATTTAATAATTCACACTTGAAAGATTAAAGTTGCGCTTAATATCCCTAGATGCCTGACTACGACCCCACGTACACGGAGCACCTGCGCAAGCTTCTCAAGTCCTACGTCGGCGGTGATCTGAAGGTGACGGCGCTGCGCGTTACGCTTGACGATTTGCTGCATTCCGAGACTCGTGGGCGCTGGTGGATTGTTGGCTCTGCATGGACCGGTGGATCTCTTATGCAAGCTTACAAACCTTCTGATCATGCTAATGCCGCAAAGTCTCTCTCCACAGAGACGAAGTTCTCTGCTGAATTCATGAAAATGGCCGAGAGTATGCGGATTACAAGACCACCAAAAATCAATATTCTCTTCGCCCTCACTGTTGGGTCAGATAGTGTTGAAGAGGCCATCATAAAACTCAAGGAGCTAAGTTTGGCACCATCACAAGAAAAGCTTATTTTTGATGTAATGTTGTATTGTGTTCAGAAAATGCGCGTTTATAAGTCCTTCTATGCCATTTTAAGCAGTCGAATGTGTGACAATGAACACAAATACAAGAGATTGTTACAGCACGCATTATGGGACAAGTTATCCGACATTGATGCCATCAAGTCTAAAGAACTCAAAAACATGGCCAAGTTTATCTTGCAAATCGTGAAGGAGGATGCTCTTAATCTATCAGTTCTCAAAACTTTGCCGTTTGCTGAAACGAATCAAAAGATCGTTGGATTTCTAGAAGATGTTTTCTGTCAGTTATTCAAGCATGAAGAGGGAGACCATGTCAGTTATGACGCGTTCAAAAAATTGTTCCTTTCGAAAAAATTGCAGCCTTTGAGATTGCAGTTCAAACTTTTCATTCAAGTGTTCATCATGCCTAAGTGTGAGAGTGGTGAGTTGGACACGCGGTGCAGACAGCGTGTAGAAAGAGTTATTGATCTGCTCAGCAGTGACATGGGAGCACTTCTGTAAGACTGGAACACACAGTTTCCAGTCAACTTGAGCACTGAAATTAGAATTCTGAAGCACGGCTAATAATTTTGCTGGATGTTTAATTTATTCTAAATACCATGCCTGTCTTTGAAAAACTAAATATGGATCCTTCATAGAGGTAAAGGATGTAAACTTGCAATGAGATATTCTTATTTCATTCTTCGCCCTGATATTGAGCCTAGTGAGTGATGCGATTCACCAAGACGAGAAAAATTGTCATTGGTGCATTTTACCTTTTATTTGTCAGCACTTCAGCATTTTTTTACAGATTTAACCAGCATCAACGTTACCGGTACTGTTATTTTTAACTGTGAAATTTATACCATCGATTTTTTCAAAATTATTTTTCCAGTCAAAAAGTTTGACTTTTTCTTCTATATTTGTCTGAAGTTTGGGTTATTCTTTTTCATTTCATTTTGCAAGGGATTTTTTTTCACTCAAATTATGCGATGCATGAATTTGATACTATTTAAATGTCACGATGTATTATTTTCCGTTGTACGTACTGCATTAATCGGATATTAATTGCCTTAATTTGTATTTTTCCAAATCCGTAGATTTAATTCAGTATTAGAATATCAACTTGATGGAATTTTTTCTCGGTCCCAAGACAATTTAGTTTGGGATGCTTCCTTTCGATTCTTTTGCAAATGTTGGAATTATAGGTGAGCCGAAGTCATTCGGCTGCGTACGCTACCAGTGCGTTGTTGAATTGTTCGTTGAAAAGGCGGACGAGCAAGGTCTATGAAAATGTTGAAAATAACTGGATTTTTCATGTGATGGAAGCGCTCAATTAGTTCGTTACTTAATTGTTGAAGAAATTCATTAATCGTTCCAGTGCACACTTGAGCACAGAAGACTAAGAAGGAGTATTTCCAGGAGCAAATCAAAATTATTCCGCGATACGTTTTTATATTATTTAACAAATTAATATCCACAAACAAACGAGAGAATACGAATTGAGTAAGGAAATGGGGTCAAACTACTGCATTATTACTTCATGGGGATAAGCTAACTAAGAATAATGAGTACAAATGATTCATAACAAATTTCATCAGAATTGCATTTCGTTTTTAAACTGAATGGCTCGAGCAATGTTGTGGAAACTGATTTCGGAGTTCATGTCGACAAGGAGCTGAAAATTTTCAAGCATGTTCATACGCAAGCTAACACATCCAACAAACTTCTTGGACTAATCAGACGCTCATACGAGATGCAGAAGCGATGAAGCTGTCGTTTGTTGCTGTCGGGCGCCCGAATCTAGAGTTTGGAAACGTTGTGTGGTCACCGAGATTTGGAAAAGGACAAAAATTTAATAGAAAATGTTCAAAGACGTCAAACAAAAATTCCAGGCTTGAAGGTCAAGTCCTATGAAGAAAGATTATGAAGCTCCCAAGCCTCAGTTATCGACGTCGGCGTGGGGACCTTATTGAAGTATACACGTATACTCATGGTTTATACAAGGTCCCCGAAGGATTACTAGAATTTGAAACAAGAACTAACAACAGGGGGCCACGACTATAAACTAAAAAAACTGCGCTGCAACTTCTCCACGCGACCTTTCTTCTCGCTTCAAATCACCGACATGGAACAGCCTCCCCCGATTACGTCGTTAGCGCGTATGAACGCGTTCAAGAACAAGCTAGATAAAGCTATGGAGAAATATATGTTCAGACGTGGAATGCCTTGCCCCATGGTGATGTTTATCTCGTGAATATTTTCGGAATTTCACCTTAATTCGTGAGTTATATCATCCTTATATGACAAGGCGTGCCGAAATTTGGAGTGAGCATGACATTTCTTCTAAACTACTTTACAGATTTGAACCAAACTATGCATGTAGAAACCTAACCTCCTAACGGTGATGTTTAGCTCGTGACAATTTTTTAGATTTTGCCTTCTTTTGCGAGTTTTTTTTTTTCACTTGTACCTCATTCGTGATTTAACAGTAATTCGTGCTTAAATTAGCAGTGAGCACTGAATTTCTCCTAAAATACTGAACAGATTTGAACGATACTTCGTATGTGAATACCTAACCTTCCAACGGTGATGCTTAGCTCGTGACAATTTTTTTTCGATTTTGCCTTCGTTTGCGAGTAATTCGGAGAAACGCCCGGCATTTATCAGGCCGATTTTTAAACTTGCATTGGCCAAGAGTAATGTAAAGGCCGTATAACTTGCAAACGAGGTCAAAGTAGAAAAAATTGTAACTAGCTAAACATCACCGTTGGAAGGTTAGGTATTCACATACGAAGTTTTGTTCAAATCTGCATAGAAATTTAGAAGAAATGTCATGCTCACTGCAAATTTCGGCACATATTGTCACATACAGTGGGGGAAATGAATATTCGTACACTTGAAAAATCGTATTTTAATGTATGTAAGTACACAAACTTAACAGGAAAAGTGATTTAAATTATGTATAGAGACGCATAGTATTCAAAAATACTATCAAAATAAATTAAATCTCAATGCAACATAAACAATGCAACATATAGAGCTACCTGTTAAGTTTGTGTACTTACATACATTAAAATACGATTTTTCATGTGTACGAATATTTATTTCCCCCCACTGTAACTCACAAATTAAGGTGAAATTCTAAAAATGTTCACCAGCTAAACATCATCGTTAGGTCCTAATGAATACGTGTATCAAGTTTCAACGAGATACGTTCATTAGTTTGGGAGATATTTTATGCTCACTGAATTTGGACACCGGCCACGAGACCGGCTCAGCGCCAGCATCACTGTTATGTTCATAGAGATTAGCATGAATAAAGGTTTTCTAAGCATGGAATATTCTATTCATGGCATAAAAAATTTATGCACTGAATGTTTTTGAGACTATTTATAAACTCATAGAGACGAATGTTTGAATTTCTGCGCTATAATATGCAGCTCGTATAGTTGTCTTTTTGACATTTACTGAATTTAGTATTCGTCTCATACGTTTAAGGCGTATACATTTGTTTAAGCACGAACGTCGTCGGGAGCTGTCGGTGCGTTTTTGAACTGTTGTGGCGCTGAAATAACACAGTTTAATAATATTTTTCTTCATTTTATTCAATTCTATTCTAGCCAAGATGACGCTCAACCCCCAATATTTACAAATTGGTGAAACTTTTGTCAAACAGTACTACGCCATATTTGACGGAGACCGAACTGGGAGAGAAAAACTTGCTAACTTTTATCACGTGAGTTCATTAATCATTAGCTTGTCAATTATTGTAAAATGTCAGTTTTTTACACTGCAATGCCAATCTTGTTGACTATGACCCTTTGATTGTTGCACATTAAGAGGTGCAAGAAATTTTATTTATTACGTTCATACAAGAAATGATGACATTGACCAATACTTTGAATCTTTGATACAAAAACACTTCAGGAATGCGGATCTTCTAAACATTGAAGCGTCACACAACATGGCCGTCATGGCGCCAGCAATGATGAAACGTCACAAACTATTGCCATATTTATTTAAAAGCCTTTAAAATTCTAAATCTACTAAATCTCTGAATTCTGACACTGTGTGAGTGTGTGTGACTAAATTTGGCATATTGTGAGATTAATTCCAACAATGCTTTAACCATGGTCACTGGTCAGGAAGGTGCAGCGTGTACGTCGGAGGTTCGTTCTGGGATGTACGCCAGTACGCCATGGAAGAAAGTTGCCAATATGCTTGCTAAAAATGGAAGTGTAACCCTCGCCAATGCTGCATGATTGACACAGGCACTGTGGCACACGTACTTTACGATTGATGCCTGGCGATTGTCACAAACACACGTGCTTTAGGATCTATATAGCCGATGCCCGATGATCAACACTACAGTGACAAACCAGGGATTTTTTAGAATCAGTTCATTTTTAATTTCCTCATTTACTCAAGATTTTAAGATTTCTTATGTATGATAATTCTGGTATCCAAGATACTTCACTGGTCTACTTATAGGACTCAAAAATGAACTTGAGAAAGAGTCTAAAAAAACTCTGCTTTGCCACTATGATCAACACCGATGCTCGCTCTTTGCGATCAAAGCGGCCAATGCCTAATGATCAACACAAGCGCACGCGATTTACGATCGGTTTAGCTGATGCCCAATGATCACCACACTCAGGATGATGTATGTTTTTGGTGAATTTTTCCGTGCATTTTTACTTTTTTAAGCTATTGCTGTGCACAGTTGGCGCAATGTAATGAAAATTGATTATCTTCGTGCACGTGTTCGCGCAATCCCGGCCATCTTTATTTTAGAAGAAATTTTCTCCAAAGTCATATGGCAACACTGAACACCGTCTGTTTACATTTCGTATGTATAACAGCCGCAGTTTACGATTACCGTACGTTCCGTATCCGACAAGGCGGACAACCGGAAGAGTCAGAAGTAACCTGGACATGTCTCACATTTTATTATTGTCAGTTCGACTCGCGTAGTAGTCAATATACTCGCGTATATTGTCGACTAAAATAGTAAAACTATTTTAGCTTTCTAAAGTACGGCGCACAGCGCATTTTTTTACCAACGTAGTACGGCGCACCGCGCAGGTCGTTAAAATGACAAAATAAATTCCCGCGCACCTGGCACATCTTCCTGACCATGGGCTGCAACCAGTCCAGTCATTCATTAGAAGGCACCAATGGCACATCTAAAGCCATGTTGCCTTCTTTAGTCCTGTAATTCATGTCCAATTGAATTGTGATCTATGAATGAATATTCACTTATTCAGTACTGTGCTGACACTTAGAACCTGAGTCCTGAGTTGACGCGTGAGCAATCTAGTTAACTCATATCCAACCACCAACCACAACACAATGCGGATACACTTGTATGTACGGTCAATGTGATTACGTAATTTGCGTTGCCACGTGTCCATATTTAAACTATTTTAGCTTTCTATAAGTACGGCGCACGGCACATTTTTTTACCGGCATAGTACAGCACACCACGCAGGTTGTTGAAATGATAATATAAATTCCTGCACACCTGGCACATCTTCCTGACCATGGGCTAAATTCATGGGTGTGTTTGCCCTAATCACAGGTTGGCTTCTGCCCTATTTTCTAGTTAGGGCAAAAGGGTTTAAGCCTTAAGGAACTAGTAAAATTCTTCATTATCATAGTCATTTTTGTCTCACTTACAATTTCACAATCACAAATGCCTTTAGTAAGTTGTCAAGCTGGAGCCTGGATAAGCCAGCTGTTTTAGTTTTATTATTTTCATGAAAAACAAGCAGAGAAAAAAAAGCAAATTTGCACTGTAATCTGTACAAAATAAACATTAAAGTTTGTTGTAATATAATTCATACAAAAAATGATATAATATTTTAAAAGTAATGTGTAAAATCCCAAAAAAATATACCTATTAACAGAAAATCATGAGGTGATGAGGATTTTGAAAGGCACAGAAATAAATGTATAAATGTTTTCCCATAGAGTTAAGCCTTCAGAGTTTAGGCATTACTGCATTAGCCACCAATTCAACTGAAAGTAATTTACATTTAGTCCTTGTCCTCTTTAGTCTTCACTGACTAGCCTTTACTATAGGCTAATACCTGTCTCTTATACACATCTAGATGTGTATAAGAGACAGCATCAATGGACACAAATTTCATAATTTTTGTATTACTTGCATTTGAAAATAAAACTATTTCTCTAAGCAGTAGTTGACTTCAAAGCATTCCCTAACATGCCTATTTAATTGCAAATTGAAATTTTAAATTTGAAAGAGTAATAAGATTTTATAAAAATATGTATTTTTCATATGAATGTACCACATGTGTACACATCGCGATTATGAGAAGTACAGCGTGTACATATATGGCGCACATCGCGGCCAACGTGTTAATGAAAAGCCATTTACGCTGAGTAATGACAAACTATTCACAAGCCACGAACTTAGTTACAAGGTTGCATGCACGTGTTACCCCAAATAACTAATTTTACCCTAAAAACAGTCCGATTGTACAGCAAGTGTCAACTGAACATGTAATAAAGCAGTCTGACCGCTCTAATGTGACCGAAACTACGCAATCGAAAAAACTTTGTTTACATTTTTTGCGGGAACTCATCGCAACTGATTTCCGGACAAGCTTCGCTGCATCGTATTCCATCCAACGCACCGGAAACCTTACTTTTTTCTAAATAGTTGGCCGAAGACTGAGAAATACATTAAATGCAAGAATTTCAATCTAAATGTGTCAGCAAGATCTTCTGAAGGCGAAAATTTGGCTACTGAAGCATCGCCAAAGATCTTGAAATATTCATCCACTTTCTGCACAGTGGCACAACATATTACAACACAACATAATGTAACAACATTACGTAACTCAATGCACTGTAACACAATATAACATAAAGACATCATAACTCAACCCAGCACATTATAGCACATCATAATATAGCATCAAAAATTATAACACAATCAAACATGATACAACACATTGTAACACAACATAACATAACACATGATACTATATCAGATCATATTATAACACAACCTAATATAATAGAATACATCACAACATAAAAAGTTAAAACACAACAGAACACAGGACAACAGAACATAATATAATACAATATATTATGTTGCATTATAATGTGATGTGTTATGTCATGTGGTTATACTGTGCTATGTTATGATGTGTTATGTTATGTTGTTTTACTGTGCAATGTTATAATGTGTTATGTTATGTTGTTATACTTTGCAATGTTATAATGTGTCATGTTGTTATACTGTGCTATGTCATGATATGTTATGTTATGTTGTTATACTGTGCAATGTTAT